TTAATTAAAAAATATATTATTGTTTACGATGAAAGAAACTTCTCGAAAAATCTATTTCTAAAACATTTAAAATTTTTTAACACAAAAGACATTATATATTTCGGGAACATTGAAGAAATAAGACTAAAGAGATCTTACGACAGAATATAAAATAAAAAAATTATGAAAAGTAAGATAAATGTGGAATGTAAAATGACATTAAACTGATAAGAAAATAATTTTGATACACGCAATATATATAACTTCTTAATAGAAAATCTAAAGAAGACGTAGGATTTCTCAGTTCAGGGATCCTCTTTTTGGACATTTCATTTCTCCGTTTATTTAAATAGTATTAGCTCTGACTCATTGTTTGCTGCACATAGAAGGGCATGGTTATTCTATTCTATAGAAGGACAATCGCTAACCGAAAGCAATCGTCAGGTGGAATTTCAAGAGACTGAGCAGTCCTATCAGTATAAGTCATCAGGTCCGTGACTCACGGACCATTGAGTTGGAGGCAACGATGAGGCTTTAACGCGACTCAACAAGCACGAACCTGCACGGTTTAGTCTAGGCTGGCTGGGGAATGCCTGGGGAATGCCCGACACCGGATGCTACGTGTGTCCGCGTATTGCTCGCCTCGACTCGGACAATCGATAAAAAGAACGCTAACAAAACCGCGAAGGCCGCTTGCAAACGTAAAGTACACACGTTAGATACGTCCTCCTTATGATTATACATACAATGTTCTAGGAAACAGCGACGATGGATCCAGAGAGGATACAGAAGTCATAATAATATTATAAGGATCATTTGTTATTGTGACCTTTTGTCAATTTTAGATGACAAGTGAAGTCATAATGACGTTCTATGATATCATATTATTATATGATATCCGCAGAACATAAACTAATGATATAACCTTGCATGTCAAATATTATAATTTTCTATTCAATAATGCAATTGTTATGTACAATATGTGTTATATTACTGAGGACAATATAATATGGTGTAGCTAACATTTATTATTATAGCGAATTCGATTCGAAGTATTTACTATTTACTATTTAGTGCACACTAGTGCACATTAAAGCCGCCATACACAAATTAATGTAAAGAGATGTGTGCTTAATATACATATAAAAATAGATTAAACCGTGAAATCCTCAATACATTTTAATGTGCTGTTAAATAATATATATTTTATAATTTGAAATATATACATGTCACTTTTATTTATCAGATTTAAATCAGTGTACAATGGCTTTAATATGCACTAATTCTAACCGAATAATTAACAAAACATAATTCAAAAAACAAAAGTTTTCCAAAAAATAAGTTTAAATATTTCGAATCATTAAAATTTTGTAATTTTAATGTTAAAATACAATTTCGATGTAATAATCTAATTGTAGAGGAATAAAAGTATTAAGTAGTTAGCTATATAATAGTTTTAAATTATATTTTTTCTCCAGCATATATACGAAATTATAATTTTTTTAATTATGTTATTATTGTAGCAAATGAGCGATATATATGCGCGACGAATAATTCACGATTCGCACATATAAGATTATACAAGCGTTTTTATCATGTTTGTTTTCCTATTATCGTTCTATTGCAAAAAAAAGAACTAGACATCGAGATGAATATGGTGAATTATCAATATGAATGTGAAAAAGTACGACTTACGTCTCATTTTCGTCACGATTAGAAGGCATTTTCGTTTGTTAGTAATATTTTGTCAGTAACATTGGAATTTAAACTTAGAGAAATTATATAACGATTTGTATCTGCGATTCTGTTTTTCGAGAATCGAGCGACGTCTAGATTCGCGCATCCTTTGCGCGAACCCTTCAAATCCGCTCAACCAATAAGAAATCAAGCTGAATAACCGAAAATTGTCCATTTGTAAATTTGCAAACGGACAAGTCTAAATATGGACAGATCGTGCGATCACGTTTATTTATTCATAACGTGAATGCCAACTTCAATAACATTAAACATGGATGTAAAAAAAGATGCGAGTGATAGTACGACATTGATATAAAGGATTTATAACGTAGTATGCCACATTTGCTTATGGAAAATAAATAACGCATTAGTCTTTTCTTTCTATCTTAGCCAATAAAGCACAGGTGGCGCTGATAGTGCCGTTCGATACGCTTGCACAGGAAGTTGAACTGGAAGACGTGCGGATTATTGATTAATTATTGAGAACTATCTCGAATTCTTCTCAGAAGAAATCTGCAAAACATTTTTTTGAACGAGAATCATTCTCATCATTTTTCTCAGTTCTTTTGTCGTGATCGAAACGCTATAATCGTCGCGTGATTCGCAGCTTGATTCACGTAGTGCGACCTAACAGTCGGTTCGCGACTGGCGGCGACCATCTTTTCCGAGAGAATGACGCAATCGATGACACATTTCAACGTTGCACATCGTTCGATTTAACGAACGTATGCAGACAGGTTTTCCGGATGCGATCATTCGTTTTCCACGCATCGAGATCGAAGTCCGAAGCTCTGGCGGATCAGCGACACGGCGCTATTTCCTTGGGAGCGTCGTGTGCGTTTCCACGGACTTTAATCCGTGGGTCGAGCGAAAGTCGCCAGCTGGTGAGAGCTATTTTGAACAGCGCGATGCGACGTTGCCACGTCTCCGATTGCCGTTGCGATCGAACAAGTTCAAACACGTGCGCCCCTCCGCGTTTTGCTCGCTTGGCATAGAGATAACTGCCTTGGCGAAACGATGGCACGTTGAACACTTTTCATCCGATCGCTGCGATTCGTTCTCAACGTTTTT